CAAGGTGGCATTCAAGCTGGATACAGACGGAGATGTGAGCCAATATCCGGCGGGATACCGAGATCTGCCTAACCTGTCGAAGCCATGCGAGAATATGTCCGCATCGGCCGGTGGGGTGACCCCTTCGTTCAGAGACGCGGCATGTTCCAGCAGCCAGTCTTGGATGTCTTCTGGGCGCCATGAATACGGCGGATAGATGCCCATGGAGTTGGTGCTGTCCTCGACAGTTTCGTAACTGTAACGACAAACATCACGACCTAACCCACTGAGATCCAGAATGAATCACTAACAGCTTCTCGATCTCGGGCGCATAAAGGTCGAGCGTGATCTTGCGCTGGACGGTGCCCTTGCCCGAGCGCGGCAGCGACTTGTTAGGACTTGCGACCAGGATGGTCTCCTTGAAGACTTTGGCGAACGCAGGCCCAAGATGATTGGCCTCCTCGACCACGGGCCTATGGAATATGGCCTAACTGAGCACTTGCGTATAGGGTCTTGAGCTGCTCCGACGCACCAAACTTCGTTCCGGTACGCTGCCACCTGCGCGTCGTCGTTCGGGTCGATCTCGTGATCTGGCATTGGTTCAGCGCGGATATTTAATTGTTCGCACTTGAAGCATTCGAGAAGGAAGTTACATTTCAAATGTATTACAGCGTATACGATACTGACAAGAAAACACGACAGCAGAGCACGTGGCGAAAGTCATCACAGCAAGAGTTCAAGAAGTATTCAAAGCAGGGTAATATCAGTCTTGGTCGCTATCAGAGTAATCCCTGCTCTTCCTCCACTGCGGTGTCATCGCTTGCGCGACGACATTTCCTACGGCTTTCAATTTCTTCCTTAGATCTTCATTGCGTACGCTAAGGAGCAGTCTCCGTGACCTCCACTTGTCGGGATGGAATCTGCGATGCGCCTTTTCAACGAGCGTTCTGTAGTCTCTCGCGGACATCATGAAGACGATCTCCTCGAAGAAGTTGTCCACCATGTCCCACGTGATGTCGGCCATGTCTAACTGGAGCGGGTGCCGCAGCGTCGGCCAAGGGATACTCCACATTGTCAGCGGCTGGCTCTCGTTGAACTGGATCTTGTCAAATTCGCTGCTGACGAGCTTGAAACGTTGCAACGCGATCACTGCGGGACACCAGGCGCCCGCGCCGCAGCTGACTCCGCTGTCGCGCCGCCTGCAGCGTTCCGTCTCCCGGCGTACGGCCTCGGCGTATGCTTTCTGTGCGGCCTCTGCCTCGCGACGATCAGCTTCTTCTTTTCTGCGCTGTTCCGCCGCCTGGCGCTCCGCCTCTTCCGTTTTCCTCCGTTCCTCCTCTGCTTTTGCCTTTGCTTCTTTAGCCTGCCGCTCAGCCTCCGCCGCCCGCTTCTCCGCCTCGTATTGCCGCTGTGAAGCGTAGAACTCCTGCATCCTGCGGCGCTCTTCTGCCACTTCGTCTTCATGCGAGCTCGTTGCTCCCTCCGGGCGTTTATCCCGTTCTTCCTGGGTGCGGAGTTCTTCCATCCGGCGTATGGACTCCCGAATGTCGTCTCGGACCTCCTGTTCCCCTCTCGCAGTATTTTCATCGTTGGGTAGCTTGGCAGCGGCATCCCTGGCGGCTTGCGCGTTGCGTCGGGCGGCTTGTTCTGCCGTCTTCGCGCGGTCGACGCGCTCACCGGACGACACCACGTCGCGGCTGGCCCTGTCGAAGCTCGCTCGTGCATCTTCCATGCGCTTCTGTGCGGCATCATATGCCTTGCCTGCGGCGATGACCGTCTCGGCGCACTGTCTCCTCACGAGGGAGGCCCCGTCCAGGCCTGCTGCAGCCGTTGCACGCGCCTTCGCTGCAGCGTCCGTCTCCTCGATGGCTGCCTCTTCTGCCGCCTGGGCCTCCTTCACACGGGACAGGGCGGCGGCTCGTTCGCGGCATCTACAGGCCCCGTCTCCGCTGGGTTCGTCTGGGCCCAAGATGTTCAGCATGTCGTGCATCCGAGGCGCAAATACCCACTGTGCTCACCCTTGCAGATCTGTACAATGTTAGAGCCTAGAAAGCAAAAACATGCTACTAGGATATCATACCTGCGTTCTCATTGATGAAGGTTATGGTGCAGAACGCGGTACTCCCATCCAATGTCCTTTCCATGCGTTGCCTATCAAACAGTTGGAGCTTGCCAGTAGCGAAAAGCAACTCTAACTTACTCAATAATGGTACCAAACTGTGTTGGTTTACGTTATTCGTCAAAACCAGACGTCTGACCAGATGTTGTTAGGTCCGTACCTTGCTGAAGAGACCATGTATATCAATTGCCTCGAGTCTGCTGTCAAGATTCTGGCCAGAGTTGCGTTCATGAGAGCGAGAAGTCCATGTCGTGGAGCGCGACGAGCTTCGTCTGGTAGATGAGCTTGTAGCCGAAGGTGAGCAGCGATAACGAGTCGCGGTAGGCCTAGCGCCCGTTGTACGATCCCGTCTGAAACGCCGCTTCAGCACTCGAAACCGCTCTCCTTCAGGTACAGTACTCCAGGCTGTCCTTCAACGTCTGAGATCTGAGTCGCCATCAAAGTCAGTCTACGGCCAGACTTTTGGAAACCCTGATATGCGACATTTCCAGTCGCAACGGCCGCAAGTGTGATGCGACACGCCCCGCCTCGACAAGCTCTGTGCATCATAGTGCATCGCAGAATCATTGCCATGGCGCGCAGGTGTTTGCTGGACAGGCTTGCGATGTATATAAACTTGCCCGACCGCCGTAGCCAAACCACACATTTCTCGCCTTTCTTCACTCGACGACATCACAGCTCTTTGAACCCCACGTCGCTCACACGGCCATGCACTTCATCATCTCCTTTGTGTTGGCCCTGGCTGCCACGACTGTTGTGTCGATGCCGTCCCCCAAGACCCGCCCCGAAATCGCGCCTACGTTGCACTTGATTCGTAGTGCTGACGGGTCGCACATGTTGACCCGCCAGGCCGACAGCAGCTCTCAACCCAGCTTCTCCCCAAACGTGGCTGGTGCCATCTTAAATGCGACTGCAGTGAGTCTCCTCTTATGTCTCTGTGCGATCCGTGCGCTGACAGGCTTGACTTTCCCATAGGTCACCAACGTCTCCGCGTCCTTCACGATTTCGCCACTTAGCGTGTTCGGGGACGGGAACGAGGCTGACGCCTTCGGCGTAGCCATCATAGTCGGCATTGATGCGTTGTACTGCCCTAATGCCGGCGCCATGGCTGGTATCGAGTCCATCGTCGAAAATGGTGAAGCGTCCTATAGTGGTCAGTCCGTGCTCCTTGCCCTCCCCGTCGCATGTTGACAAGCCATCTATATTCTCCCAGCGTTTATCACGGCTTTCCCTCAAGGCCCCGTCGCCGTCCCGGGCTTCAACCTCTCGGCGGGCGACAACATCGCGATAAGCATCACCGTGACGAACGCGACGTCGGCCACGGTGGTCCTCACCAATGAGAGCACGAACCAGACCGTCACTGAGGTCACCCCCACCGGCACTCTGTGCATGCAGGAAGCGGACTGGATCATCGAGGACATGGAATCGGACGGGTCCCTACCGCCGTTGGCCGACTTTAGCTCGGTCAACTTCACCGATGTGTCTGCCGCGACCTCCAGCGGTCCCCTGGACATCACTGGGGCGACGATTTTCAACATGGAGCAGAACAACACAGTTCTTACTTCGGTCTCGGCCTTGCCCTCGGAGATCGATATTGTCTTCGTTTAATGGGGCAGAGAGGATGTAGGACTGATATTTATTTGACATTGCTTGCAAAAACAATTGTATATCTCGCATGTAATTAGAAGGACCAGTATTTATCCAATATTGCTTGTATCGCTAATGGCCTATGGCCGCCTGCTGGCACAGCTCGTATATAAATCATATAGCGAAGGCCGTATTTTGACTGGTAAAAAGTGAAGTATTGTCTCCGATGTTTCTCAGGTGAAAAGCGGAGAAACTCAGGCTCCTTTCCGACGATGATTTTGCACAAGCATGCTACCCAGTGACACAGGTGACTTGTGCAGACTGCGCATCCACCTGCGGCGTATTCCTGGATTCCTCTTAACCATGCTATTTCTAGCCATACGTATACTGATACATATGCAGACACGTCTAACTGCACGTGAAGCGAACCCACAAGTCTGGGGGATATACGGCGGTGGAGTGAGGGCGGACGGGCCCCAGGAGACCGGCAGCCAGCCCAGCACCTTCGCGAGCGGAGAGGCGTAGTCCGGGTCGCGCTGGGCGTCATCGTCCACGTTCACGTGCGAGAAGTCCATGTCGTCGAGCGCGACCATCTTGGTCTGGTAGATGAGCTTGTAGCCGAAGGTGAGCAGGAGGAAGAAGGGCTGGGGGACGGGTTAAGACGACGTTAGACGGCGGGCGGGCGGAAGGCAGAAAGAGGGGGTAGAGAAAGAGAGGATCCTGGCTTACGGTGGGCACGTACGACGCGAGGAAGCTCGAGATCGGGGCCGACGGCTGCCCCCAGTGTCTGTGCACGCGCTTGCGCGCGATAACGAGTCGCGGTAGGCCTAGCGCCCGTTGTACGATCCCGTGAGTTATAAGCCCGTGACTTGCAACTTCGGCGTTCGCCAACCTCCAGCGGTAACCACCGGTGTTCGCCGGTGGCCATTGGTGTTTGCCGGCGGTCCTTGCCATATACGGGGTGCGTCGCCGTGAGCGCTTGTGAACACCACCGTTCGTTG